TGTAATGTTAACAGCAAAAAAAAAATTTTTTATTTCTAAAAAAATTTCTCGAGATTATATTTTATTTTTTCGTGTTGTGATACAATTATGAACTTCTTTCGTCTTTAAAATTTTTTTATCATGGAAATTGATGGAAAGATTTTAGCTACCAATCAAATTTAAATCAATTTTTTCTTAATATATTGATTGATAGGAAAAAAAATTATTTCTTAAAATTCATCTAAAAAAATTTATCTAAACCTAAATTTAATAAAATGTATTGTGTTCCAAAACTTTTTAACAATAAATTTGCTATTTCCACATCAACATCAAAAATTACTCATAAACTGATAAACAATTTATCAAAAGACTTTATCATTAATAACAAATCATCATTATCGCCTTTATCAAGATATTATGTTACTCATAAAGAACTAAAATTTGGTGTGGAAGGCCGTGCTTCTTTATTAAATGGTGTGGACATACTTTCTAAAGCTGTAGCTGTAACACTTGGTCCCAAAGGAAGAAATGTTTTAATCGAACAACCTTTTGGTAGTCCAAAAATTACAAAGGATGGAGTGACTGTTGCTAAAAGTATAACACTTAAAGATAAATTTGAAAATCTTGGTGCAAGGTAAAAATCTTCGAAAAATAATAATAAGAATATATCAAGCCTTTCATCACATGATTAATCAGTGTTACATATATATATATATATATGTATGTATGTAATTTTTTTTTTTTGATTTTAGGCTTGTTCAAGATGTTGCAAATAAAACTAATGAAATTGCAGGTGATGGAACAACAACTGCAACAGTACTTACTCATGCAATTTTTGTTGAAGGTGTTAAAAATGTTGCTGCTGGATGTAATCCCATGGATCTTAGGCGTGGAGTTCAAATGGCTGTTGATGCCATTGTTAAATATTTAAGGGAAAATAGTCGTGTTATTACCACAAGTGAAGAAATTGCCCAGGTAAATAAATGATATTTATAGACTGGTTAAATGTTATTAGTTAAAATTAACTAAAAAAAATTTTATCTAGGTTGCCACAATCTCTGCTAATGGTGATATACATGTAGGAAACCTTATAGCCAATGCTATGGAAAAAGTTGGTAAAGAAGGAGTTATCACTGTTAAAGAAGGGAAAACAATAGATGATGAATTAGAAATTACAGAGGGAATGCGATTTGATCGTGGATATATTTCTCCATATTTTATCACTGATACTAAATCTCTAAAAGTAGAATTTGAAAAACCATTGATTCTTCTATCAGAGAAAAAGATTTCTGTTCTACAAGATATTTTGCCAGCCTTAGAAACATCAGCACAACAACGTAGACCACTATTAATTATTGCTGAAGACATTGATGGTGAGGCATTGGCTGCATGTATATTGAACAGACTTCGTGGTAATCTTCAAGTTGCAGCAGTTAAAGCACCTGGGTTTGGAGATAATAGAAAATCCATTTTAGGAGATTTGGCTATTTTGACTGGTGGCACAGTTTTCTCTGATGAATTAGACATTAAACTTGAACGAGCAACACCTGATTTATTTGGATCAACTGGGTCAGCCACAATTACCAAAGAAGATACAATTTTTCTTAATGGAGATGGAACAAAAGAAAGTATTCATCAACGTTGTGAACAAATACGTGCAGCTATAAATGATCCTACTGTGTCTGAATATGAAAAAGAAAAATTACAAGAACGTTTAGCAAAATTATCTGGTGGTGTAGCAGTGATCAAAGTGGGTGGTTCATCAGAACTTGAAGTTGGAGAGAAAAAGGATAGATTTGTTGATGCATTGAATGCAACAAGAGCTGCAGTTGAAGAAGGAATTGTACCTGGTGGTGGTGTTGCACTTTTGAAATCAATAAAATGCCTTGATAATTTAAAAACAAGTAATTTTGATCAACAATTAGGTATCAATATTATCAAATCAGCCCTTACAAAACCAGCAAAAACAATTGTTGACAATGCAGGTGAAGAAGGTGCAGTAATTGTTGGTAAACTGTTAGATGGTCATGTAAGTGATTTCAATTATGGCTATGACTCTGCTACTGGAGAATATGGAGATATGATTTCTCGTGGTATTGTTGATCCTTTAAAAGTTGTCAGGACTGCTCTTGTTGATGCTTCAGGTGTTGCAAGTTTGTTAACAACAACAGAATGTATAATCGTTGAAGCACCAGGTAAACTATTATTATTACTATTACTATTACTATTATTACTATTATTATTATTACTATTATTATTATTATTATTACTATTATTATTATTATTGATATAAATTAATTTATTTACTAGATGAGAACAAAAATGCTGGGGTAGGTGGAATGGGTGGAATGGGAGGTATGGGAGGTATGGGAGGGATGATGTAATGAATAGATTACCAAGTAATCTTGAACTATGCAATCGATTTTGGTAATATTAATTAATTTGTTATAAAGCAATACAATGTTTTGATTGATTATCATTATTTTTTTATAATTTCCTGCTTTTCAAAATTTTTATGTTCAAACCATTTTTGCAATCTTATATGGCATGTTGCAACAAAGTGAACATTTCTACTACCAAGAATTTCAGGGTTCAACATCATCATCATATTATTACTATTAATAATTTTATAATGTCCCATCTGTTATCTTTGTTTTTTCTTTAATGGTATATTGAACTACTTCTATATAAAAACAATTAATATGAAACTAATTTATATTGGATCTACTATGGAACCCAATAATTACAGCATCATCAAAAGCATTTTGAAAAAGGAACAAGGTGAGAAAACTGCTCCCTATATTTTGATGCTCAGATACTTGAGCTTATCTAAGAAAAGAAGGATTACCTACGAATTTATCAGAAGAAAGAAAAACCATAACCAATAAAAGAACATTAATGCAAAGCCATGAAGAACCTAGTAAGAAAAGAAAATTTGGAAGAGAAATAGTTTACTACTTAACTTAGGTTAATTATCAGCATAGATGAGTGTCCCACATCATATAAATTTTCATATGGATGGTTGGGGGTGTTACAAATTATAATAAACACAAAAATAGTTGACCACATATAGTTGACTTGGTCTAAAGACCTCCTAAATTTTGCATAAATGTTAAAAGTATAAAAGTCACTTTCTGTCCTACCTTTAAAAAAATAGCATCATTAGTTGATAGAATAGGCTTTAATTTTAATGCAATAATGAGATTTTCTCAAAAAAATTATTTGTTGTAGAGTTCTATTACATATTTCGGCTACCAGTCATTACTAAATTTAGACAAAATTATTACTAAATGTAGACTAGTTCACGACCATCATATCTAAATTTGGCAATAAGAAATAATCTGGGCACTTCTCTCTTAAGTCTCGCATTTTCTTTTGAAGCATATAATCCTGGTGTGGTCAAAATTCAGAAGGTTGCTAATGAACCTTTTGCTGAATTCAATTTATTGAAAACTAGGAGAGCAGATATTTTTAAAAAATTAAGGCTTTATTTATTTTAGTCTTAACACCTCCTTCTCTGGATTATAATAGGCAAGAATACCTTTATAACATTATCTGTCCATTGGTAAAGGATGAAATTAAAGACATTACTTGTCCAAAACCAACATAAAACTTTCATGAATGTATCAAAATAATATATTATGATAGTAAAAGAAATTCCAGCACCTGAAAATAATCAAGAATTAATACAATTAAAAAAGAACCGGAAGAAATGCTAGTAGAGTTGATTAAGAATAAAAGTCCAATAACAGATGAATATAGAGATGATATAATTGATAATTTATTAATAACAAAATTGAAATTACAAAAAGAAAAGCCTTGAAAATAACATTGCTGAATTTAAAGCTCCTAATGGGTCGGGTTCGGGTTGATTTCGGGTTAATAAGAAAATTTTGTGATTTACATAATAATAAATTTCCATGGAGGTTGCCATTTTCCTCAAAGACATACAAGATAAATTAAAATTATCAATCCCTACTAGAAAAATTCATAATGTATTTACTGAGAACATCGCAGATTCTTCTATTCATATTATTGTCAATCAGCCTTCTGGTAAGTGAGTTTGTAAGAAAATTAGTCAATGCAAGTGAATGTGTTTTGGCTTGATTTCTCTTCCACAATAATATCATATATTTATTCTTATGCAATAATATTAAATTCTTTTGTTAGCAGGGCAAGGTAACTCCACCAATGTATTTTCCCTGATTGAGGAACTTAATAATAAAGTGGAAAGCGGTTTTAGAAATGTTGATAATAAAGTGAGATAAGTTTTACTGGGTCCCATCCACTTTACCGACAACCACTTTACTGACAACCACTTTACCGGCAGGACACTTTACCGGCAGGACACTTTTACCGACAGGATACTTTGCCAACAAGCATTGTGTTAACAATTTACCAAGGACTGTGTGAAGACCTGGATAACTCTATATAGAAGCTAAAAGTTTGATTTTTTACAGGCAAGTTAAATCAACTGTTGACTAGCCTTGTCCTACAAATCATTAACTAATAACACAACTTATTATCCTTACTTTGCATCAAAAACCAGTTCATAAAAATACATTATAGATACATGTGTAATATTTTTTTTTTGTCTAACGAAATTGATATTTATTGTTATGTTTTGCTATTTCGTTATTTTAATTAATAATATGTCTAATTTGCATCTTACGATACGTTGATTTGTTCATGTGATTTATTAAAGAGTATAAATAATAATTTGAAATAACAAATCTTTAACATTTAACTTTGCACAAAACGGAGAACTCATAAAATGATGTTTATATAAAATCCATGAATTTATTTTAGGGGAGGGAGATATTAATAAAAGTACAAAAATGAGAATAAAATAAATAAAGAAACTCTTTTTTGGATTAAATGAAAAAGGCCATCATTATATATACAACAATTTATCATTCATTATATCAAAAATTATTAAATTAAAAAATATATATATAAATATATACATATATTAAATAAATAATAAATCTAATAATTACAAGACAAAATGTATATTATTTTTATCCCAGGGCTCTTTTCAAATCACTCCATTTTTGTTTCAATGTTTCTCTTTCATTTTCGCTCTCTGCATACCTTACCTTAATTTCTATTAACATGTTTTCTAAATTTTCAAGTTGATCTTCCAATAAATTATTCTTTTCTATCAAATCAATATTACTTTTAATTAAATCATCCATTTGACCTTGTAATTTACTTTCAATCTCTTTAGACTGAGTTTCCAAACCTCTACGTAGGTTTATAACCATCTGAGAAAGATCTTCATTTTCGTCTTTGCATTGTGCAAGTTCCATCTTAGTACTGATGAAATTATTGGCTAGTTCAACATGTTCACGATCAAGTGTTTGCAAACTGCTTTCAAGACTTTTGATTTTATTGGATAAATGAATATTGTTGGCTCGCATTCTCTCGGCTGTTCCTGCCTCTGCTATTAATCTTCTTTTCTCATTTTCCTGATGCGCGTAATATGCTTGTTGATGTTTATTAAGTGTCTTGACTGTGATTCGAATATCATATGCATCTTTAACAAATTCATTAGTTCTATATTGTGCTTCAGTTATCAATACATCAGTAGGAGTAACCTGCAAAATATAATATGATGAATATAGTGAGCGTTATCATGACTAGAATTATCATAAGAAATTGAAATTGTATATAAACCTGATAACTTTCAAATAATCCACTTTTCAAAAATTCCAAAAGAGGTTCAAAATCCAATTCAACAATTCTTTTTTCATTTTTTTTCAATAGTGCAATGCTGAATCGAAAAATAGCCTCAATTCCCTCTGTGAAAATTGTATCATATATTCGAAACACCAATGATAATGGAAATTTGTATGCAAAAAGTGTCATAAACCATTGTGATGCATACATTGATGAGTTTATTCCTTGTGCCAAAAGATGACTATGAATTTTAGGAAGCATTTCTTCAACCAGATGATCAAACTGGAAAAGGCGAAGTTGAAGCCCATCCATTCCTGGTAAAAAGTGACCTCGCATATTGTAATGTTTCATTAATTTAACAAGAATACAAAAGGCCTCTTCATCTGGCATCTAGTTGTTATAACAAATTAATAATTAATGTATTATGTTCTTTTCTAATTAATAGAATTGGAATTAAAATTAAAATTGCAAATACATTTAAAAGTAAAGGTCCAACAACAAATGAAATGCCTTGGCAATATCCAACTTCAGGATCATAAATTGAATATGCTTTAACAACGTGAAATAAACCTTCTTGACCCACACCATTCTGATCCTGAAAAAATTCATGTTTTGGAAAAGTTCTGTTTAAATCTCTTACGATCATTTTTTCATGAGGGCTTGATTCCTTGAGCAATTGAGCATATTTGGATTCTAACTCAACATCTTTAGACTTTGACATTAATTGCCATATCATACCCCGTAATGCTTGTGGGATTCCTTTTTGTATTGATTTAGATAATTGTCGTGATTGTGTTCTTGCGACATTTTCATAGTCGGATATAATTTGTCCCCAGAATTCTTTATATATAAATATAAATATAAATGAACGTAAACAATAAAAAGAAATAGTGCATTGACATGCACACATGCACATACATATGTCTTTATAATTACCCCAATCAATATCATCATCTAGTACATTTACATTAGCTTCGTTATGTGCCTTTTCAAAACTACGTTTTATTTCTGCAATTCCTTGTATTGAGATTCGTCTTGCTTTGGGATCTTCTTGCAAAATCTGATCTTCTCTTTCAAGTTTAGCATACAACAAATCATAATTAGATGCTGAGGACAAACGACGAGAACTAGTGGTTGATGGAGTTAGTACGGAGGAAGTGCTTGATATTGAGCTGAATAGTGATGAAAAATTTTTTAATGAATTCCACTCCTGTGAACCCCATTCTTTAGGTGATTCTTGAATATAATTTTCATCATCCAAAGACTCATCATTTAACTCTGGATTTTCAGCAAGAGATGCATCTGGCATTTGTTTAATTGCATAAGTTCCTATGTGTACAAAAGAATCAACATCGTTATCCGTGGATATATCTGTTTGTTGATTGATTGATATGGATGAAAAACTGGATTTTGAAGTCCTCGATTCAAAATCCATCTTATCATCTGATGAACTAAATGAAAAAATGCTAGTAAGCGATCCTTGCCTATCACGAGTATTAACTTGTGGATTTTGGGTGCCTTGAACCAAATTGTCTGATTTTCCAATATTTTGTTCTGATGACAGTGTTGATGATTCTTTAATGGTATCTACTTTGTCAAGATACTTTAAATTATCTGCCACTTCTGTTATTATATCATCTTCATCTTTTTTATTTTTTTCATTATTATAATTATCATAACTATCATTGTTTTCGTTAATTATATCACCATTAATTGTTTCTCCCTTTAAATAATCTCCATTATGATTATCACCAAATGTAACCTCATTGTTAATTATTTCAACAACCTTTACATCTTCTACTTTTAGATCACCTTTATCATTGACCCTATCATCATTATCTCTATGATTTATACCCAAATTATTGTTATTAATATTTTCATCAGGGAAATCTTTTATAATTATTTCTCTCTTTTCAACATGATTTACATGTTCTTCTTTTAAACCATTCTTGTCACTATCATATTTATATTCAAGGCTAATATTTTCTACCCTCTCTTGTTGAGTATCAATCAAGTTGTCCACCTCAAAATTATTAGTCTCGATGTTAGGATTAATTACAGAAGTCATATTATTATTATTTTGATATATTTGAAAACAACGGATGGATGAATATCTTAAAGTCTATCCAATGTTGAAATTACAGAAAAAAAAAAGAATAAAATTAAAAGGTTGGTAGCAATCAAAAGCCTCAATCTCTTGTTGCATTCCCAACAAAAAAAAATTAATTGTTAAAAATTTTAATAAAGTCGATTAATAAAAAATTTTACATTTACTGTTTATGAATGAATATTTTGTATGTTTTGTAAAAGCAAACAGAAGAAAGATAAATTAGTGTAACCTTTTTGTTTGAAAACGTGGAATTTCTGTATTACTTGTTTTACCGTTTCATATAAAAGCATAATATAAAAAAAAAAATTTACTTTGATAAACTACTGTGCAACTACAAAAAATTGACAAGTTTAATAATGATGTTGAATAAAATATTACCAACAATATGCAAATCAACAATACGCTCATGTTGCATCAAGCAACACAAAGACATTTGTTTTGTAATGACAAAAACTTTTCCCATTATTTCAATAAACAATAAAAGAAAACATGCTAAAATTGGCGAAAACACAGATCTAATCCAATTAGTATCAATTTCATACTTTGTGCGTGGATCCCGATAATCGTGTAGTTTTCCGCCAAAATTCATTCGCCAATTTGAATTCCCGTGAGAATATTCGACATCTGCCAAAATTAAAATATCCGAAATTTAAAACATATTTATTTATTAATTTATCATGATAGTCAACAATTGAAGCATAGAAATCATTTTTGTTGAATAGAATCAGTGAATAAATTATTTTAATTTATTAATTGAATATTAATTTCGGATATTTTAATTTTGGTGGAAAACTACACGATTATTGGATCCCGTATAGAAGTAAGTGATGTTTTATCAGTAACTAAAAGAAGATTGAGAATATGATATGAAGGAAATATTTAGAAAACTTTGAATTATAAATTTTGAGCGAACCTTGTCATCAATCACAAAAACCATTGGGCTATATCTTGATGGCCAGAATGCTCACATATACAGTAAATGTTGACGGTTTGAATTTTAATAATCAAATTTCAGATATTTACCAAGCTGAAAGTTCAAAAAAAGTTCAGTGACAAAAAAGAATCACACAAACTGAGTGAGTCATAAAATATATTTTATAATGATAACTAAAACTCAAAGTTTTGGTCAAAAATACATATGGCGTACATACATGTATATATCATCTAAATACATTATTAAGAAATTTTCAATTATTATTATTATTATTAATCAAACTGACAACAATAATGAAACCAAAGTTAATTATGAAGTTGAAGATAGCAACAAAACTAATAATAACATTAAAAGTTCTCATAAGAAAGTTACAAATTCTAGAAAAAGAAATAGAAATAGTAGAAATAAACAGAAAAAAAAATAATAATATGAATATGAATTTTATATATATTTATTATCTAAATATAAAATACATAGAATCCATTTGATGGTGGGGGTGCTGTGTTGGTGTATGACTTTTTTAAAAAAATTTCTATTTTTGTAGACCATACAGTACAGGAATGCAAAAGAGTACAGTACTGAATGTCTATATACTCATCCGGCATGACGTTTTAACACTAAAAAGACCATAAAACCATAATGCCGTAATTATTTTATGGCCTATAAATATTGCAAGCGTGTGATCTGAGTTATTGAAGTTACCACATCTGGAAAATTAAATTAAAATCACTATATAAAACTATATTGCTTGATTAGGGTTCTATTTGATAAGTTTATTCGAATTATTTGTTTTACTCGTTGTGAATTTGAGTATTGAATTTGATTGGAAGTTTATGAATAATGAATAATAATTCGATAATTTAAATAAAACAAATAAACAATTCGAATAAAATGAATAAACGAAATACTTCGAATATTTTCGAATAAACGAATAACGAATAATTTGAAATAAAATAAAAAAAGAATAGTTCAAATAAAAGAACGATAATAATTCGAATAAACAAATGACAATAATTCAGATAAACAAATGATAACAATTCAAATAATAAATTCGAATAATAATAATAATAATAATAATAATAATAATAAACGAATGAGAACAATTCGAATAAACAAATAATAGTAATAGTAGTCGAACGATTGGGAAGTGTATTTTCCGAAATTTTTTGGTGATCAACGTCAAAATTCTATTAATAAAATTAGCCACAAACCTTAATTTTAACCCTTTTTTGCTCAGCAATCTCCACCAAATTTGAGACAGATTTTTTAAGACTTATTCCTTAAAAAAAAATTAGGAGAGATTATTAATAAAATAGTAAAAAATCTTGGTGTTAAAGTTTGTCAACCAAATTACCGCATTTGGAAATTAATTATCTATTTTGGTCATTATTTCTGACAATCTCCTGCCTACATTTTTTCCTTTTTGTGTATTGATAAATAAATTTATCAAAATTTAATATGTTTTTTGGAGTTTTTTGCCATTTTCAC